TATTACTAGCACAAATAATCAGATTTCCATTGACTGCAATTATTAAATTCCATAACCATAGTGTATATTTAAAAATTATGATCATGATCTACATACATTCCTAGAGTTATTTAAAAAAAACTGCACCAAAAAGATGTCAAATATGCATCTACCCCAGGTGTACTATATACATAATGTTGTTACTTTCTGAATAGTAGGCTATGTGTGTCTAAAGGAAATTCTTTAGTTGCAATCACAGCATGACCATGGCTTGGACAATGCTGCACGGGACTAATGCTGCACTGTTTGGCTAAGTAACTACTCTGGCCATACATTATACTCTGCAGATTTTTGTGATTTCATATAATAGGAGGACAAAAACTAAAACACACTTTCAGTTGTTTTAGGCAGGCCCATAGTTGAAGTAACTTGTTAGATAAGTATACTGTGGCCAGCCTAAGACTGTCAGGAAAGGGCTCACCTGCTCTATGGGCTGCAGTACCGGGACTTATCAGCGAGTGTCTTTCAGCAGCCAGGATCTCACCTCCTGCAATCAAGCCATCACCTGAGGCTGATTGCAGGAGGTATATTTAAACAGCAATTATACCTGTAATCAGTGCCTTGGTGTTGTTCCCATGTGCCTGTGATATCATGTTATGCTGAACCTGCTACCTAGTCCTGTGATCCGCTCCTTGTCCTGTCTGCCTCCCTGCGCCCCATGCTTGATCTCCTGTGTATGACCCCGGATAGCCCTGACTACGCTTTTATTCTGCACATGTATATATTGGGTGGGCGTTTTGGTTATTTGGTTTTTGCTTGCACTGTGCATTTGCATACTGGTGTGTCTCACCAATAAATTATATTATTTACATTACTCCTGAAGTCTGATATTCCGTGTCAGTCCACACATCTCTGGTCATATCTGGATTCCTGACATAACACCAATACCAGTTCTGATCAGAAGTGGCTGCACAGGGAAGCCATCTTGGCTTGTTGTTTGTGAAGGATGCATCCTGAGGAGGTTGTGTACTTGTCTCTGCTAGCAATAGAAGACAGAGAATACTGCTATAAGATTCTGAAGGAGTATGCCAGGGATCAGCTGCTAGAGTGCATGCGGGTTGCTCATTCTCTAGTAGATCAGGGCAGGGTGTTTTCTGAGGTGCAGCCATTGATTCAGGCTTGTGCTGAATTGGCTCTGTCCAGTACCCCTGAAAGCAGGGATGACTTTTCTCCTCCATTCAGTACAGAACAAGTAGAATCACTGGTATGGTTGTTGGAGGATGATCCGGATTGCCGCTTGGAGCATTATTCAGCACGTTCACAACATGTGCTTGTTGATTGTATAAACGCAGTGCAGTCTTTGGTCAGACAAGCTATGTGTAAGCTGAGCTTTGTTCAACCGGTACTACAGACATGGTCAGATTTGTTACACCCAGCCTCAGTCAGCTTGCAACAACCCAGTCCTGCTTCTAATCACTCATTTTCTCAAAGCTCTCTTCCTCCATTCCCCACAGCACGCACAGTTACAGCCCAGTATGCGCTGCTATCAACCACATGTCAGTACCCTGTTCCCACTCTCTGCACCTACCCTGCCTTTAACCGCGTCAGGAAGTCCTGTGTAGCAACTGCTCCCTTTTCTGTTCCATCCTTCAGCTTTTCTCTGTCATCAGCTGCTCCCTCCGTTTACAGCCCTGCATTCACTTGCAGTGCTTCAGTAACTAAACCCAAGAAGAAGCGAAAATTCTTTCCTACCAGTACCATCCTGCCAACCTGCTGTCTGAGAACCCGCCTTCTGTTATCCAGCCTGATGACCTGATGCCTGCCGTCCAGCCTGTTGACCCGATGCCTGCCGTCCAGCCTGATGACCCGATGCCCGTTATCCAGCCTGATGATCTGGTACCCGCTACTCCGCCTGATAACCCAATGCCAGTTATTCAGCCTGATGACCCGATGCCTGCCATCCAGCCTGATGACCCGGTGCCCGTTATCCAGCCTGATGACCCGGTGCCCGTTATCCAGCCTGATGACCCGGTGCCCGTTATCCAGCCTGATGACCCGGTGCCCGTTATCCAGCCTGATGACCCGGTGCCCATTATCCAGCCTGATGACTCGATGTCTGCCGTCCAGCCTGATGACCCGATGCCCGTTATCCAGCCCGATGATCTGTTACCCGCTACTCCGCCTGATTACCCAATGTCAGTTGTTCAGCCTGATGACCCGATGCCCGCTATCCAGCCTGATGACCCAGTGCCCGCTATCCAGCCTGATGACCCAGTGCCCGCTATCCAGCCTGATGACCCAGTGCCCGCTATCCAGCCTGATGACTCTATATCTGGCATCCAGCCTGATGACCCGATGCCCGCTATCCAGCCTGATGACCCGATGCCCGTTATTCAGCCTGATGAAACTGATGCCTGCCATTCAGCCTGATGACCCACTGCCCGTTATCGAGCCTAATGATCCAGTGCCCGCTACATCGCCTGATGACCCGATGCCAGTTATTCAGACTGATGACCCGATGCCCGTTGTCCAGCCTGATGACCCGGTGCCTGCTACCCAGCCTGATGACCCGGTGCCCGTTATCCAGCCTGATGACTCGATGTCTGCCGCCCAGCCTGATGGCTCGATGTCTGCCGCCCAGCCTGATGGCTCGATGTCTGCCGCCCAGCCTGATGGCTCGATGTCTGCCGCCCAGCCTGATGGCTCGATGTCTGCCGCCCAGCCTGATGGCTCGATGTCTGCCGCCCAGCCTGATGGCTCGATGTCTGCCGCCCAGCCTGATGGCTCGATGTCTGCCGCCCAGCCTGATGGCTCGATGTCTGCCGTCCAGCCTGATGGCTCGATGTCTGCCGTCCAGCCTGATGGCTCGATGTCTGCCGTCCAGCCTGATGGCTCGATGTCTGCCGTCCAGCCTGATGGCTCGATGTCGCCGTCCAGCCTGATGGCTCGATGTCTGCCGTCCAGCCTGATGGCTCGATGTCTGCCGTCCAGCCTGATGGCTCGATGTCTGCCGTCCAGCCTGATGACTCGATGTCTGCCGTCCAGCCTGATGACCCGATGCCCGTTATTCAGCCTGATGACCCGATGCCTGTTATTCAGCCTGATGACCCGATGCGCGTTATCCAGCCTGATGATCTGGTACCCGCTACTCCGCCTGATGACCCTGATGATGCCAGTTGTTCAGCCTGATGACCCGATGCCTGCCATCCAGCATGATGACACGGTGCCCGCTATCCAGCCTGATGACCCAGTGCCCGCTATTCAGCCTGATGACCCAGTGCCCGCTATCCAGCCTGATGACTCGATGTCTGCAGTCCAGCCTGATGACTCAATGTCTGGCGTCTAGCCTGATGAAACGGTGCCCGTTATCCAGCCTGATGACCTGGTGCCCGCTATCCAGCCTGATGACCCGATGCCCGCTATCCAGCCTGATGACCCGATGCCTGCCATTCAGCCTGATGACCCACTGCCCGTTATCGAGCCTAATGATCCGGTGCCCGCTACTCCGCCTGATGACCCAATGCCAGTTATTCAGACTGATGACCCGGTGCCCGCTGTCCAGCCTGGTGACCCGGTGCCTGCTAACCAGCCTGATGAAACGGTGCCGCCGTTCGGCTTGATGACCAGGTGCTCGCCGCCCGGCCTGCTGACCCAGTGCCCGCGGTTTGTCCTGCCGACCCGGTATTGAATGTCTGGCTTGATGTGCCTGTATCTGTTGCCCAGCATAATATTCCGGTGCCCGCTGTCTGGCCTGCTGACCCGCTGCCCGGCCTGCTGTGCCTCTGCCCGCTGCCCAGCCTGATGTGCCTCTGCCCGCTGCCCAGCCTGATGTGCCTCTGCCCGCTGCCCAGCCTGATGTGCCTCTGCCCGCTGCCCAGCTTGATGTGCCGCTGCCTGCTGCCCAGTTTAATGTTCCGCTGCCCAACTTGATGACCTGGTGCTTGCTGCCCAGCCTGATTTGCCAGCCCCTGATGTCCAGCTAAACTGGCCAATACCCGATTCCCAGCCTGCCTCTGGAGGTCCTGTGCCCAGCAACCTGCCTTCCTGTATTCTGCTGCATAAAGATACGTCTACCAGCAGGAAACCCAGCCAGTCGCTTGACTCCGGCAGTGGGATATCCAGCCAGTTACCTGACCCGGGTGGTGGAACATTTTGACCATTAAGGACTGTTTGGCGCGTCCTGAGGCCGCTCCTTAAAAGGGGGGGTACTGTCAGGAAAGGGCTCACCACTGGTGGTGCTGTGGCTCACCTGCTCTATGGGCTGCAGTACCGGGACTTATCAGCAAGTGCCTTTCAGCAGCCAGGATCTCACCTCCTGCAAACAAGCCATCACCTGGGGCTGATTGCAGGAGGTGTATTTAAACAGCAATTATGCCTGTAATCAGTGCCTTGGTGTTGTTCCCATGTGCCTGTGATATCCTGTTTTCCTGAACCTGCTACCTACTCCTGTGATCCAATCCTTGTCCTGTCTGTCTTCCTGCGCCCCGTGCTTGATCTCCAGTGAATTACCCCGGCTAGCCCTGACTATGCTTTTATTCTGCACATGTATATATTGGGTGGACGTTTTGGTTATTTGGTTTTTGCTTGCACTGTGCGTTTGTATACTGGTGTGTCTCACAAGTAAATATTATTTACATCACTCCTGAAGCCTGATATTCCCTGTGTCAGTCCACACATCTCTGGTCATATTCGGATTACTGACAAAGACTAAAAATTTTAGGTTTAAAGAGACCATGTCATCACCTTAAAACATTGCTTGCAAAATCAACTATTTTAAATGCTTACATGCAGTATTTTGCTATCTTGTAGCAACACCAAGCCCACATGGTGTGGCCCCCTGCCCTCTACCTTTTGATCTGTGCAGTGAGAGAAAGAGTGAGGCACAATAGCAAAGCTGTGCACGATCTGCCATGTGAGGATGTAACATTATGTCACTCATTGATAAGTGATTAAAATTAAACTAGCATGATCTTAGAGCCTATTACTCTGCTATCATACCAAGAATGTATTTCCTAACTTACCGTACATCCAGTTGAAGCAGCTGCAGCTTTAAAACAAGCGTTGGCCTTCTCTTCTAAATCAGCAAGGTCTTTGCGTGATGGGGCACGCAAATAAAATTCTAGCTCAGTGTATGATGGAATGATGTTTGGTTTCACACCACCATGTTTTATTATTCCTGAAAGAAGAAAGAGTAAGAAAATTGAAGCCGCATGCCAGTATGTCATTTCACTTGAATTATTGGAAATATTGTATTTTACAAAGCAATCTACTGTAATTTAGCAATATAGATATCTCTGTATCTGCAGCAACTGAACCTCTGTGTTACAGGACTAGACTAGGCAAAACACACTCACTGGCCACTTTATTAGGTACACCTGTTCAATTGCTAGGTAATGCATATTGCTAATCAGCCAATCACATGATAGAAACTCAATGCATTTAGGCATCTAGACGTGGTGAAGAACGCTTGCTGAAGTTCAAACTGAGCATCAGAAAGGGGACTTAAATTACATTGAAAGTGGCATGGTTGTTGGTGCCACACAGGCTGGTCTGGTATTTCAAAAACTGCTGATCTACTGGGATTTTCATGCACAACCATCTCTAGGGTTTACAGAGAATGGTCCGAAAAATAGAAAATATCCAGTGATCGGCAGCTGTGTGGATGAAATTGCCTTGTTGATGTCAGAGGTCAGAGGAGAATGGGTAGACTGGCTTGAGATGATAGAAAGGCAACAGAAACTCAATGTCAAAATGGACCAAAATCTCTGAAGAATTTTTCCAACACCTTGCTGAATATATGCCATGAAGAATTAAGGCAGTTCTGAAGGCCAAAGGCGGGTCCAAACTGGTACTAGCGAGGTGTACCTAATAACGAGGCCGGTGAGTGTTCATTTGGCAGTACTTTATACTGACTTATGAACATTTCATTTAACCTAGAGCAATGCAAAAATGCTAAACAATGTTAACTCCTTACTAAGGTTCTTCTATGATAGTCTAAACAGGTCCCAATGTAGTTACTATGTGTTCTTTCTTTACTTGTGCCTCACACAATGAAACCCCCTTCTTCCCCTCCAGACACTGCAGCTCACAGTGAGAGGGTTTAGTAGCAATAGCAGTGCTGTCAATCCAGAAAACAGTATGCAGGACTAGGTGTGGCCAGGTGCTGATTGACAAGCTAAAGCAGGGATGTGCTTTTAATTTTACCAAGGGGCCACATGAGAAACTGGAACTGTTGCAGAGGGCCAAACTTAATTCTGCTCAATGTTAATTTTGGACTTTGGAAGGTCCATAACTACATAAACTTATAGAAAACAAAATTATGGCACTAGGATCTATAGGTACAACTGCTAATGAAATAGATCATTTATTTATTTCAGGTACTTTTATAGCACCGTCAATTTATGCAGCGCTTTACATATGTACTATACATTCACACATCTCTTCCAGATAGGTGGCTGGGGGGTGGAAGGAGGTGACTGAGCCATGGTTCTACTTCCTCCTGGCTACCCACCCAGACTGTAAAATAAGAGTGAGATGGGGCTGTCCTTATGCTGCGGCATTTTTAACTCGGGGTCCAGAGTTTAACAAGGAGCACCACTTCTGTTAAATGGGGCTGCACTGCAGCTATGTACACTCAATTTTGACACAGTAATATGGCATTATAGGGATAAATCAGGTAGTGAGGAGGCAATATAAACATAGGAAGAACTTGGGGTAACAGAGTGGTGGGAAACTGTTAGGACATCTCCTAAGCAACGCTCTCCTGCCAGAGCCAAGCCTCCCCTATTTACCAATCAGCTCCTGGGGCCCTCTCCTTCCAGTTCTTGCAGCTCTCCACATGCACATCTACCAGCATGTGAAGAAGCAAAGAAGCTGACAGGCTCAGGAGGCAAACTAACAGTTGAGGCATCAAGGGCTGAATAGGAACAGCCAAAGTGCCAGATGTGGCCCTAGGATTGCAATTTACCCATATCTGAGCTAAAGGCTTATGAATCGACAGTAGTAATGCTGATATCCACACCATGTGCAACATCTTCTGATCCCACTGTAGTGCAAACAAAGCCTACATGCTGGTGACAGCACTGCTTAATTCAGAAACAGCACAAGGAGCATTGTCACCCCATTACAAGAAGCTGCATGAGGTGGACTTCACTGCTAGGATCAACAAGTACTTGTGAAATCTTGCAGGTGACTAGGGGAAAACTTCAAGTGCAGGCGTACTTACAATTAAGCGGAGTTCCACCCAAAAGGGGAAGTACCGCTTTAAAGATTGGTCCCCCGCTCCCCATTAAGGATTGGCACCATTGGGGAGCGGAGGGGAGGGAACTGGTACCCGAATTGGACAGGTATCTGCTCCCACTTCCGCTGCGATCGTCTCGACGATCGGAAACGGAAGTTGTCCTCCTACCCTCCATCCCCAAAGTCTTGTCGGACACGTGACAGGTCCCAGAAGACGAAGGGGCCATTCAGGAAGCGCATGCGCAGTGGGCACCCAGCTGTGAAGCAGCAAGCTGTCACAGCCGGGTGCCCACACTGTAGATACCAGAGCCTGGAATACAGGACGGCCGGTGAAATGGACTGCGGCGGGGGCAATGCGGGATCGTGGGACAGGTGAGTGGCTGTTTGTTAAAAGTCAGCAGCTACAGTTTTTGTAGCTGCTGACTTATTTTTTTTACAGAGTGAGTGGGATTCCGCTTTAAGTGCTGCAGCACATGTTTTCTAATAGTAGGTTATAGTTTTAAACAACAATTTTACTATATCTTAGGCAATCCTGTTAACCTGATATGCATACCAACTATTTAGTGCATATAACGCGATTCCCCCATTACTGCCTACATCAGTAGGGACTAATAAATGCTGGCCAAAGAAATCTCAAATAGCTCAAATCTCTCACAAGCGAAGCTCCAGTCAAACCAAAAATAAAATAAAAGTCAGCAGCTACAAAAACTGTAGCTGCTGACTTTTAAAAAAGAGCCACTCAACTGTCCTATAATCCAGCATACTCACCGCAGCCGGTTTCACTAGCCATCCTTGCTCCCCAGTGCCAACATCTTAAGTGTGGGCGTCCGGCTGTGACAGTTTGCGGCTTCACAGCCGGGTTCCCACTGACTGAGCATGTGCGAGTAGAACTGCGCCTTGTGTATGGTCCCGTAGTCTTCTGGGACCTGTCAAGTGTCCCAGAAGACTACAGGTGGGGGAAGGGAGGACAACTTCTGCGATAGGCGATTGCTACGGAAGTGGGAGCAGGTACCTGTCAAAATCAGGTACCCGCTTCCCCCACTCCAATCCTCAAAAGGTGCCAATTCCTCACAGGAAGTGGGGGACTAGTAATTAAAGCTCCGCTTTGAGGCAAGCAATATGGCTGCTTACACTAGGCGCAAGTTACCACGCAAGAAAATATGTTTCAGACTCAACCTGGGCATGGCCAGCTTTAGACAAATTCTTTGAATCCAAATATTCTTGTTCAAAAGCTACTAAAATTAACATTGAAGACGAACATTGAAATAGATGCAGAGAAAGCTTGCAGTCAAATCAGTGGTTAAATCTGGTTACATAACATTGAAATCATTTGTATTCATATTTTAGGGACATTTAACATTTGTGTTAGCAGCTTGGAAATGTATAATATGCAATCCCCATTTCCTGTGGAGTGAAAACAAATCAGAACATAGCTCTTAAACAGTTCTCACCGTGAACTCTCCAGGTTGGTTTCATTTGCTGTCTTAAGACAGACAGATTGTTGTATGCAAGAATAGCAGCATCTAAAGCATTAATTCCTTCCCATGGGTATGCAGCAGCATGAGAAGCTTTTCCATAATATTTCACAGTCACACTAGGAAATAAAAGCCAGCTCTTAGCAATTATTTCTCTTTTTTAATTCCTTTCTATTGTGATTTAAGCTGAGCAGTACAGACATGGAAATGGAAAAAATTAACATAAAAAACAAAACTGTGAAGTTGTGGTATTGTTATACTGCAGGATAGGCAATATTTCTGTATACATGTTATTGACATGCTTACCTACCCAAGACTGAAAAATCTGTTTGCCTTTGGAATAACCTTCCACAAGTCTTAAATGCAGTTTAAAATTTAAACAAGTAGCAACCCGTAGAGGAAGAATAATACTTTTATATCTCTGCAGTGGGCAGATAGGCCAGCCTTCACTCTATCGCAATAGCCACCACTGATATCTCACTCTATGGTGACACAGTGGAACATCAGCACAAAACAGGGGCCCAAGCATGTGAGAACACCAGAAATGATGGATACCAGTGGCAATAATAGCACTGTAAGAGACTAAAGATAAGGCTCGCCACCTACAGGACAGGCAAGTATTATGTTTCTTACTTCATTTTATAAGAGAAGATGTAGGCAATGTTGAAACAAAATGGTTGGGACTTGTGCCTAGGTCTATGGCTGACCATACATTAATCTTTTTTTTTTTGTTCAACCAAAAATTTATCTGATTCCCCCATTGATACATTTGATGTAGATTGGGGGAATCACTCCTGCTGTGCCATTGTATTCTGCCGGCAGGAGCCTTTCCGCCGTCAAAATACATTGATCAGTGCTGCCAGTTCTAGCCAGTGGCAATGTTTGGAAAAAAACTGACAGGGTGGTTGTACAGAAATTGATCCCTGCTGAACCAGCCAAATTTTGATTCATGTGTGGTTGGTTTATGACCCTCAGAATTGGTGGAATCAGATAGCAGTAAGTCGTAATAAGGCTCAGATAACATTATTTGCACTTACCAATCAATACTGGTAAGCAAAGATGCATTTGTTGGAAATGTTTAACCCAAATGAGTCTAAAATTATTAGTATGCATCCAAACTTTACTATGGTGTTTTACTAGATCTTTAAACTGCATCCAAACCCAAAAAACTATTTTTATTTTTTTTTTAAATTTGCAGCTTCCTGGTCTCTAGATGTGGTAGATGCATTGTTTTTTTTTTTATCAGGCTTCATTTCTACAATTTTCACCTGCTAATCCTACAGATAACAGGATTTGTACTCACTCCATTATATCAAAAGGGAACGTTACTTGCAACCAGGCTGGATTTCAAACATGTTTTCCTCTCTTACATGGGTGATGGGGGGGATTAGTAGTTTACGAAGGGAAGATAATATACTTTGTGCTTATAGTTCTGTCCACAAGAAGTGAAAAGAACACTGCATTTCTGGCAAGATCAAACAGCAATTTTCTGTACTTGCAGAAAAAGTTCTTAACTTGAATGTTTAAAACCAATGCAGTCACCATTTCTAAGGAAGGGTAAGCTAAAATATATTACATTTTTGTTCTTGGGTTTAGATATTTGACCATACGTCTGAAAACAGTAATGTCTATTCAAATCAAAGTGAAAAGATAAAAAGGAACATTTTTTTTCCTTTGCTTGCATTATAAAAATGTAATCTGAGTTCAGAAGTATAAGTCATAATTTGCTTGCTAGCATTGAGATCGTCATCTGAACTGGCAGATTTAGATCTGCTCTGGAAACTGATCAGCAATCTGACCTCTGTGTGGCCAGCTTTGAAAATCCATTTATAATCTTTCCTGAGAATAAATTCCATCTACCAGAAATTAACTGAATTCATTCGCAGGAAATGGTTCAGGAAATGTTTGCTTTCTCAGTTCATAAAACTGGAGAAATTGGAAATACTTGTTTTTCTATAAAGGATGCTGAATGTGTTTCTGCATACAGAATGAAGAAGGAAAATCCAAAAGTTCAAAAACTTGTGTAGTATACTTAACAATACCACAATGAATGAGCAATATTTCCTCAAAATGATTACAAGATATAAACATGCACTTTCAAATCACTTATAGGCAAAAGGCCTACTTTTATTTATGCCTTACTCACTCATGTACGGCAACATCAGGCAGATAGGCTGCATCATCCTGGGCAGGGTGTGCCATGAACACTATATCTATATCTTCAAAAGGCACCAGCCTTTATAAGGTCAATTTTACCTCCACCTTCTTCCTCCGCTGGAGTTCCCAATACTGTAATCTAGGGAAAAAGGTGAAACACATTTGGTTTTATATATCAATGACTCCAGTCAAGTCTAGATAAAAGTAGCCCTGACATTCATTTATAGCATACTTGTCCAGGACTATGACTAAAACATACTGAAGTCAGACACAGCCATTCATCTAACATTTTCAGGAGACCTGCAATGGCAGCCCCCATACTTCTCCAATAACAGTCACTTTAAATGCTCTCTCTTCTCCCAGCAACCTTCTCAATTCACCTCCCCCTGTTCCTCTGAAAGCTTTGTGGTCCTGCTAGTCTCCTGGCCAGGTTCTTCTTCTGTGCACACCCAAAGGAATCTCTATTCATTCCTAAAAAGGTTGATGACCTTTGGAACACAAAATAGGCTGCTTTTCTGTAGGTTTGAATGGAAACCAACAACAGCCTGCCTATGAGACTTCAGGAACAGCACCAGTTTTGTGGCATCTAGCAGGCACAAGTAAGTAGGACACTTGGGAGAGTTGCTGAGGAAGAGAGAGCATTTGAAAGCTAATAGTACTAAAAGGACTACAATCTTTTAAGGATACATTCTGTACAAAACTATATTAATAGATACAGTTGATGATGCACCTCTTATTCAGGAGGGGGTGTGCGCTATTCAGTGCTAAATTATATGTGAGAATCCATATTCTCTCTCTCTCTGTGTAATAGCCTGATGTGCCTTGGTGACAAAGGTGCAACAGCACTTTTTTCACATTCTATGCTTCCTTGCCAGACTTGGATAAACAGTATATTTGCATCAAATTTGATGTCTCTTCAATGTGCATACCTAGTTCTCAGTGTGGATTCTCCTGGTAATTTTTGGAAGCTGTCAGGATCCTGAATTAGATTGGACATGTGATTCCTTCTCTACAAACACGCATGCTTTATGCTAATGAAGGCTTCATATTGGCAGACTGTACTCTAAACCAGTGTTTGTCAATCACTGCGACTATTACACCCAAATAGATGAATTTTTCTCCTGATTGAGGCGGACAACCCTACCCTTGAATTGGTGCAATCGATGGCTCCTGCTTGCAATTGTACCTTGTCAAACCATGGATAGCTGGTTAACTTCCCTTTAAAGAGATCTCTCCAAAACTGTGAATGATCCTTCCCTTGCTTATAGTACGCATGGAAAATGTCTGTAATTTATCATTTCAACTGATCCTGTCAACTAAAGCTTTCCAGATTTGCTATCATGGCTCTCGTTAGTATTCATGTGTACGCACCTCTGTTAATTCCTGTAATTCTAGCATGAGAAAGATTTGATCCCCATGGCCCTTGAGGAACTATGTCTCTTCACATCGATTCTAGATATTTAGGACGCTACTGATGGTAAGAGCACCCATCTTCCTCAGCAGACTAAGGGATAGACTGCTAAGACTGAGTTTCCCCCTCTCTGAGTGTTTAGAAATATTATTTTTGTTTCTCTACTAGCCTGGTTCCGAGTCTACTCACAAGGTCTGGTGCTCAGAGTCTTCCAAATCCTTAAGCAGACCATGTCAACTCCAAGCCTCATTAATAAACCTGACTACCTAAATACATTATATTACCTAAAACTAATAAAGTTACCAGTATTTACCGGCTTCCAGTTTCCCCAGTTGAGTGCCGTGTGAATTTTAGTGAAGACAAACATTCCTTAGCTTGCAGGTGTGGCCCCAATTTCCACAGTGGAGGAACGCTCAGACAACTTACATTTCATTTGGATACAGGAGGTGGTATCCAAGGGCTAAAGACTGGAGTTTTGCTTTCGGTCTCTTCTTTGATTTTCTTTTCTCCATACCGATTAGTCGATCCCCATCAAGCTTTGTCAGGGCTTCTGGGTCTGGATGTCATTGCTTGAGTTCCCGTGGTGGAAAGGTTTTAGGGGTTTGCCTCATTTTGGATCTAAGTTTGGACTATCTTCTTTTTGAATTCAGAAATTAGACATGGAATTCACCACATCTGACTTCTGTGGACATCAAGGACATGTACTTTCATGTCCACATCTTTCCAGCACATCTATTATTGCTACATTTTGTTGTGGGGCCCACACTACCAGTTAGTGGCCTTGCCCTTAGGCATTTGGTTTGCACCTTAAGTGTTCACCAAAGTGCTAGTCCTAGTATTATCCCTCTTTTGCTACTGTCGCATCACCAATGTGGGATACTTAGACAACCCACTGTTGAAAGAACAGCCAGGGGGATCTTCGTCGGTGGCTTTTTAACTTTGAGAAATTGTTGCTGGACTTGACTCATCATTTGGAGTCTAGTCTTGGACTCAGCTCAGCCCAGGGCTTTACTTCCAAAAGGAGAAACTTCAGACTCTAAGGTCTTAGGATCTGGCTTCAAAGATTGTTGATCTTTCACTCCTTGTCTAGGACCTTTGTACAGGAGTCTTCCTTGTAGTTCCCCTGTTCATTCACCTGTGACTCGGAGATATAAATTTGATTTTCTCTGTGCTTCAAAGACCACCCTTTGAACCCATTACTCTTTCTCTACTCTCACCCACAAGGTGATGTTTTTTTAGTCATCCTCTCTGCAAGGGGAGGTTCTAAATCGGTAGACATTCTGTATCCTGTAAGGAACCCTTTCTGGTTTTGCACATAGACAAGTTGGTGTTAAGGCCCAAGACTGCCTTTTTATATAAGGTGGTTCTATCTTTCACCTAAGCCTGGAAATTGTTCTCCCATCCCTCTTTCTGACTGCGGTTTATCAAACAGAATATACCTTCCATTGTCTGGATGTGTGTGTCTTTAGGAAGAGTAATTATTTTGTATTCCAGACAGACCCTGTAAGGATACATCAACTTTTTGTTCCACCATCTCTAAGTGACTCAGGTCAACCATCATCCAAAATGTACGGTTTTCAGAATCCTGTTATAGTGAACTCTTCTAGATCTGTGAGTGCTTTCTTAGTCTTTTTTTGGCATAAAGCATTCTTTCCAAGACTACCAACTGGTCTTCTGTCCTTTCTTCAGTTCTACCAGGTGGATATTCTGGCCTCATTGGATAACAAATTTGGGAATTAGGCCCTTGAGGTGGCCTTTTGAGCTGCAGACAGTCCCCAGTTTTCTTTTTTTTCTTGGGTCTGTTAGCCTTTGTTGCTACGTTGCTCACACTTCTGTTGGACTGCTTTTGGATATACCAACTGTCTAAGAGTTCCTGTTCTCCTCAAAGGACGACAAAGAAAATAGGATTTTTGTACTCATTGTAAAATCCTTTTTTTGGTGTCTAATAAAGGACACAGGTTCCTCCCCTCTGTGTTTATTTTCATGTTCTTAGTGCCACTTTGCTACAAAGATGAGGCATGATGGTTGTGGGCCAGGTTATCCTATGCTGGCCCATGTTTTTCCTCCATTTCCTCTGTAGGTGGCAGTATAGCCCATAATCTAAGAATTCCTTTGTCCCTCAAAGGACTCCAAAAAAGGGCTGCACACGGAGTACAAAAGTCCTATTTTTCTAGCGATTTCATGAGACGACACAAGTGACCAAAGTCACCCTCTTACATGACGTAAAAGTACTCTTGCTCCAGTATTAACTGGATATTACTCTGGACCAGCTTTGAGAATGACAACAGTGGACCATGCATGCATAATGTACACTATATTGCCAAAAGTATTGGGACACCCCTCCAAATCATTGGATTCAGGGTCTACATCTACAATAAAGCCATTTATCTACAATAAAGCCATTTGAATATACTACACTATGGGCACCTTTTCTATGGCTTCTCTATGGAGCTATTAAGTTACAGAGTCAGTGGAGTTTTGCTGAATCACACAGTATCCAGAGGAAGGGAATCCCTGTAAGCAGGTTGCAGACTCAGTCTAACCTAAAAGGAGACCTCTGGATTTACAGCCTTCACCCACTTACCGTTGTGCTGCCCATTCTTTGAAGGAGGACCCCTACCTACCATACCTCTTCCCGAGGCGGATATATTAATGCACATATCCTATGCACATCTGGGAAGTGCGCAATTTTACCACTTCTCCCGAGCACTACCACCCTGATATTCTGGCTCACTCGGATGTTATTACCACATATGTCCACGGACTTACGTACACTAAAGACCTCATTTGTGACTATACTATTGATTATTTAGCGCTGCACTTTACTATATTTTATTGTATTTTTGGGTTTTATTTGGTTACCTTGATATGCCAGCTGATATATTAGGAAGCGCTCACTCTGTTCTATTTTATGACTTTTAATAGGATGCATCTGCACATGCTCCCATATGCAGTGGTCAGAGACTCAGCAGATGTCCCCTGGCCTAAACACTGTAACATGGGGGTGGGCAGCGCTATGCAGCAACTTTACAGAGGACTTGAACTATGGAAGCTGTGCCCAAAAAAGCAAACAGAGTACAAAGGACTAGTCACCAATGTTGCCTGTGGTCTCCAAGGTAAGCTTGAATTTGTCTGGAAGTAGATCTAGGTTCTTTATCCACCATTTGAACAATCCTTTGTTGCAATCTTTTCTGGAGTTTTGCATTAAATGTGTCAGATTTGGCTTTTTGCTTCTCCACTTTTTTTTGTATCACACCAATACAAACAAAAAAAAATAAACAATGGAAAGACTAAAGATTTGTAATTGCAGCAATTTTCTGGGCAAATTGGTGCATTATCTGGCAGAAATGCAGGGGTGCCAATATGTTTAGCCAGGAGTGTATGTTTTTCACCTTTGTTACCTTCAATAAATCTTATTGGCTTGTCACTTAGTTTTGAATGCACTCTCCTCTGTGAAGCTCCACATACTGGTCACACCAGCTCTGCAGGATACCAGCCTACGGTATAGTAACCTAATGCTAAGGCCAGTAATGGCCAAATTGGGCTGCACAGAGGACCAGTTTGTAATCCACTTGCTATATTCTTGTGGGAGGCTGTAACAAGATGATTTCAGACAAATCTCCAATACCATGTATTGTTAGCAACAGATATGGAGAAATGTTGCCAGACATTACAGAGACAGACCAGTAAACAGTTTGTATTGAAATTGTGTCTCAATCTTTTGATGG